CAACAATAACAAGAAAGGTCGTAACAATAGTAGTTAAAGTAGTCGGCCAGGTAGTAGTACTAGTCGTCGTAAAACATACTAAACGTAGTAATACGAATCGTTCGAGTAGCAGGAGCAGCAGCAGTAGCAGCAGTAGTAGTAGTAGTAGTGGTAGTAGTAGTAGTAGTAGTAGTGGTAGTAGTAGTAGTAATGGTAGTAGTAGCAGTAATAGTAAGTGTACCGGATGTGGTCGTAGAAATATTTGAAGCAGTCGTAGTCGTAGTAGTAGAAGTAGTAGTAGTCGTAGTAGCCGTAGTAGTAAAAGTAATGGTCGTACCAATAATAGTAATAGTCGTCATAGTAGTAGTGGTAGTACTGGTAGTAGTATTATTTGTAGTAGTAAGCGTAATAGTAGTAGTAGTAGTAGTAGTAGTAGTAGTAGTGGTAGTAGTAGTAGTAGTAGCAGTAATAGTAGTACTAGTCGTAGTAGTGGTAGTAATAGTAGTAGTAGTAGTAGTAAGAGTAGCTGTAGTAGTAGTAGCAATAGTAGTAGTCGTAGTAGTAGTAGTAATACTAGTAGAAGTAGCAGTAGTACTGGTAATCATAGTAGTCGTAGTAGTAGTAGTAGTAGTAGTAGTAGTAGTGGTAGTAGTAGTAGTAATCGCAGTACTAAGAGAGGCAGCCGTAATACTAGTCGTAGTAGTAGTGATCGTACCAGTAGTAGTAGTCGTAGTAGTAGTGTTAGTAGTCGTAGTAGTAGTAGTAGTAGTAGTAGTAGTAATAGTAGTAGTAGTAGTAGTAGTAGTCGTAAAAGAGTAGTCGTTGCTGTAGCCGAAATAGTCGTGATGGTTGTAGTAAAAGTAATCGCCGTCGTAGCAGCAGTAGTAGACGTGGTAGTAGCAGTAGCCGTAGTAATGATAAGTAGTCGTAGCAGTAGTAGTCGTAAACTAAGTGTAGCAGTGGTGGAAGTAGTCGTAGTAGTAGTAGTAGGAGTAGTAGTAGTAGTAGTAGTAGTAGTCGTAGTAGTAGTAGTAGTAGTAGTAATAGTAGTAGTTGCAGTAGTGGTATCAGTCGTAGACGAGGAATAATCGCAATAATATGTATAGATTTCGCCACGGCGGTATCATCATATACAGTGCTCACCACATGTATTCCATGACGTAGATTGAATCCCATGTATTGCCCCACATAGATTGCACTACATCGCTGTATATAAATATAAATGGCACATCTTGCACAAAAAAGAATGGTAGAACACACACTGCTTGGACAAATCTGGGCCACCAAACAGTCAAACCATCTGAGACCTCCGCACATTCTGGGCGCAAGCGGGCAAGCTTCCCCCTCTCTGGCGGCTCGCCCTCTGGGTGCTCAAGTGCCACGCCTGCTACATCGCGATGAGCAGTGGAGCCTCAGAAGGAACAAGTTGGGGCCACCACAAAGGCGAACTGCCTGAGACATACCCACAATCAGGGCGCGAACGGGCAAGCATCCCCCTCCGTGGCGGGCGCTCGAATGCCTGCCACGCCTGCTGCATCGCGATGGGCATGGGGCTCTGAAAACGAGAACCTGAGTGTCACTGAGTCGGAGTGTGAGCGTGAGTAGTCTGTGCGTGAGTGGGTCTGTGCGGGAGTGAGTCTGAGTGTGAGCGAGTCTGAATATGAGTGGGTATGGGCGAGTATGAGTATCAGTCGATCTGAATATGAGCGGGTCTGACTGTCAAGAAATCTGAAGTATGATTGAACTGAGTACGGGTTCATATGAGTGTGAGTGGTCTGTGTGTGAGTGAGTGAGTGGGTGAGTCTGAGTGTTAGTGAGTCTGAGTCTGAGTGAGTCTGAGTATGACTAGGTTGACAAAGCACCAAGCTGGCACAAGCGGGCCTCCGGAAGGACCCAACATGGCCCAACAACGGCCCTAAGAGACACCCCAGACGGCTAGGAGAGACCCAAGACGGCTCAATAGGGCCCCAAGAGGGCCCCAGCACAGCTCAAGAGAGACCCAGGGGACCCCCGAGCCTGCTCGAAAGTAGCCCAAGACGGCCCCAAGACGGACCAAATAGGCCTCATGAGAGCTCCTCACGAAGTGGAGACGAGAGCTGTCTCATGTGATGACCTTCCAGGCGGTGCTCGAAACATCGCCACCTAGAGCGCTTCGCAGGCACGGTGGTGCATTCGCCGTAGGCGACTGGATAGGTTGCGACGAGCGAGCGCAGACTGCGACGGAGCTGATACTTAGGAGCGCCCCCGCTCCACGGTAGCAAAACAGTACTCAGCAGGGCGCCTGCCTCGTGTCAGCGACAAGTGCGAGGCGCGCAAGGGGGCGGACAGCGGGAACGCAACGAGCCAACAAGCCCGCCAACGGTCGTCGTGTCTCCATTCTCCGGCCCCCGTCCTCGACCCCGTGCTCCTCTGCCGCGCCTTGCCCACCCTGAAGATCCTGGACGGGGGCCGCACTGCCCATCGTCTTATTCAACAGACTCCATGTCCTGCGCTCTGTGTCCTAAACCATAGAACGCAAGGCCCTACACCGTAACCTCTAGATTACGCGGGATGGATGGGACAGCAGCAGAGACCTTAAGAGAGCGGGGTGTGGCGTGCGGGTGCCCATCGCCCATCGCGCGGGGCCCATACCGACGGCTGCTGACCCAGCTGATCTCGACGAGGGTCATGCGAACCAGTATCTGATTGCCCTGCGACAGTGGGCAAGGGGAGGGGCACCAGTCCAGCTCCAAGGACGCGCAGAGGCAGAGGTTCCGGCGGCGCATGTACGCCGAGCGCAGCAAGATGGGATCCCCCAAGGTGGCCGTGGCCGGAGCGACCCTATCCTCGTGCTGGAAGTACGCACTCTGGACGAAGGAGATGAGCCGTTTTCTCTGGCTGATGTTCACCAGCGTGAGGAAGCCGTCGTCCTCCTCGGAGAGCCTCATGTGCGTTTGGAACGCGCTGGTGACACAATCGATCTTCCATGCTGGGCTCAACAAATCCACGCAGGCACTGACGTTGGCGTCCTCGAGGGTCCTAGCGGACGAGCTGCCAGAAGACAAAGACGAGGACGAGCGGACTCGCTCGTCTCCCTCGTCATAGGGCAGGCCGTTCGGCAAGAGTGGTCCCGCCTTGCCCTCATACCTCGGGAGCTCCGCCGCACGCTCCCCGGACTGCTGCTCGCGGATGCCCACGAGATAGAACTGCTGGTTCTCCTCGAGGAACCCCACCACGAACAGCTCAACCTCCAGAGTGATTCCAGCGCTATCCTTCATTGACACATGGAACGCAACGCTCAGACGAGGCGGTTTGCTGACGGGCTGCCCCGCGACCGTGGCTGCCGCCATCTGCTCGTCGAACTTGGCACGATCCTCGGCAGACGCCAAGAAGCTGCGCACGTCCTCCTGCCGCACGGACTGGCGCTGGTTAAGAAGAAGCATGTTGCGCAACCCTGGCGAGTCTTCCCTGAGCTGTAGCGCGTGATCCACCACCACAACCACGTCGCAAATGCTCCGCAGCACGGACTGGGTAGCGCCTAGCTCGTTGCGCGAGGACTGCGCCTCCAGCTCCAGCCGCGTTAGTTGGTACAACAAGCGATCGAAAACAAAAATGCACAGCACAGTGACCACGGAGATTGTTGAGAGTTGCAGCGACCCTCTAAGAGGATCTGCGCTGGCACACTGGCCACTACCCCGCTGACCAACAACCAAAGAGAGGCAACACATCGCGTTGATGACGAAGATCCAGACCGCATTCAGCCATGGGTTCAAGAACGCAATGCTCAAACCAAGAGCGACGACCCAGGTGGCACCGGCGTACATCATGACTGCGTCCGCTGAAACAGCGATCGGCCACACCGTGGCGCTCAGGATAGCCATCATCGCCGAGTATATCCAGTTGGCAGAGCCTGGTGTGAGTGCGGACGGAAATTTCCAGATGGCCATCCAGATTGTGGCGTTTGCGAGCGCGCTGCAGTTCTGAAGAAACGACGTCGGCAGCGTGCCCCCCCACCACATGGCTGCGACGCAGATCATGCTGGCGAAATGGGCGATGGGCAGCAGCGGCTTGATCAGGGACAGTTTTGTCCTCTGAAACTCCTGCGCCGCCTGCTGCGCATCGGAGTTCATGCCCTCGTCTTTCCAGTCAGTCTCGAGAGGTCCTCGAGCCTGTCTCAGCGGCACCACCATGCGCTGCAGCAGCTCCTGCGCCAGCGAGCTGAGCAGCACGCAAGCGCCGAGCAGCAGGTAAACGCAGCCAGCCACGAAGAGAGCACGCTTGACGTCGTCCCCTGGGCTGAGAGGGTGCATGCTCGTTCGAGGCGGGTGCTCCTGGAGCTCAGCGCGTTGTATTAGGGGCACGGCGCCAATGCTGCTCGGCAGCTGGGGGCAGAAAAGAGCCCGGGCCAAAATGAATAATTACAGAAGGGGAAGGTGACACTTTGGAGGACGAGGAGGAGGAGGATCAGGAGGAGGAGGAGGAAGAGGAGGAGCAGGAGGAGGAGGAGAGGGGAGGAGGAGGAGGGAGGAGGAGGAGAGGAGGAGGGAGGAGGAGGAGGAGGAGGAGGAGGAGAGGAGGAGGAGGAGGAGGAAGGAGGAAGAGGAGGAGGAGGAGGAGGAGGAGGAGGAGGAGAGGCAGGAGGAGGAGGAGGAGGAGGGGGGGGAAGAGGAGGAGGACGAGGAGGAGGGCCCTGGCTGGCCCTGGCTCTGTAGAAGACCTTGGGGGCGTGGCGCCTCCTCGGGGCCCTCTTCAGGGGCCGCATGTGGACTCGTGCGGACATGTTCGGGGCTTCTGAAAGCCGCCAGGAGCCAGTTGGGGAGCTTCGGCCGTCTAAGGCCACTACAACCGGGGCGTTGACCTAAGGAGCCCAACATACGGAACGAGGCCCCTTTTTTCCATATGTTAACCTTCGATTTCCGATCGGAAACATAAGGACAGCCTGAGGCAAGCTGCGAAACACTTAAGGAACGCGGAGCCCCTCCCCAACGAAAAGGGTTCCTTCTTCAGGGCCCCGACTGTATGGCGGACCTCTTGAACTGTCCTACACGCTCGCAAGGCCGACAAGGCACCCCTGATCAAATCGAAGAGAAACCACCGATTAAGAGATGTGCCTGAACTCCTCGGATCGCATTGGGGACCTCATGGGAACCGCTTTCGGGCCTCTTCTGGTATGTTGGGAAGCACTTTGGGGCTCTCTGGCTGCTCTTCGGAGCCTCCTCAGCCCTCTGAAACCATGTCCAGCTCCCTGATGGCATGTGGGGGCATGCTACGGACAGAACCGCGCTCTGAGCCTCTTAAAGCCTCTTGGCAGCCTCGTCGGTGGTTTGAGAAGATCTTCATATCAGCAATGCGAATATCTTCAATATGTGCAGACATGTTCAAGCCAAGCAAGGTCACACTGGTTTCGAACGACTTCGACCTCTCCGCGACAACAATACAAACGGTTTAACTCAAGAGTTATTCCTCCAACCGCAGATCCAAACAATTGATAAGTCTAGACTAGAGTTAACCCTTCCTTGGAGGGGGGGGGGGGGGGGGGCCCCCCCGAAACGTGAATATCTGCGTGGTTAGATCATCCAAACAATCTTGCCTATAAGAGTCTGTCTGATTCCCATGCATAGAGAGCCCGGGGAGGGGGAAGCGGAGTTCCGAGGAGTGTGGGGGGGTCCGAGGGGGGGGTCCTGGATCAGATGCGACGCCCCCTCCGGGGGGTCCCGACCACAAAAAAGCCCCAAGACGGGCCAAGAGTACCCCAAGAGGACCCCAAGACGGTCCAAGAGGGCCCCGAATCGCCGAGCGATCTGTCCAAGACGCCTTGACGGCCTCCAGGCGGCCCAAGAGCCCTGCAAGACGCCCTAAGAGGCCTCCAGGAGCACTCCCAAGAGGGCCCCGAGAGGAAAATCCATTGACTTTCCATTGGTTTTTGATGCGTTTCGGCGTTCTCGCCTCTTCCGCTTCCCGACGCTCCTAGACGGCCCAAGAGGCCCCAGATCGCTCCAAAACGGCCCACGAGGGCTTCAGGACGGACCCAAAAATGCCCAAGAGGCCCTAGGACGGCCCGACGACCCAAGAGGCCCCCAAGACGGCTCCAAGAGGGTGCCCCGACGAGGGACTAGAACGGACATTTCGAGCCCTCGTTCCCGAGAGGCTCCCAGGAGGAGCCAAGAGGCCCCCAAGAGGCCCCCAAGAGGCCCCAAGAGGCCCCCAAGAGGCCCCCAGGAAGCCTCGAGAGGCCCTCAAGAGGCTCCCAAGAGGCCCCCAAGGGGCCCCTTAGAAAGAGCTTCCAAGAGACCCCAAGAAGCATCCATGAGGACTCTGACCCACGTCAGCATCGTTGTCGTCGCCGCCGCCGTTGTCGTCGTTCCCCTTCAGGGTCGGTGGCACGCGGCCTACATATGCGTCAGGCGGACCAAGAGTCCCCTAAGACGGCCACAGAGGCCTCAAGAGGCCCCCAAGAGGCTCCATGTGGCCCCCAAGAGGCCCCCAAGAAGCTTTCAGGAAGCTCCCAGGAGGCCCAGGAAGCCCCAGTAGGGCTCCAGAAAGCCTCCTCCTCCTCCTCATCCTCGGTTTCTCCCCGCCTCATCCTCCTCCTCCTCCTTCTCCTCCTCACCTCCTCCTCCTCCTCCTCCTCCTTTCCCTGCTCCTCCTCTTCCTGATCCTCCTCCTCCTCCTCCTCCTCCTCCTCCTGATCCTCCTCCTCCTCCTCCTCCTTCTCCTCTTCCCCTCCGTACCGCGCGGACGAAGACGAGGTTGGGATCACGACCCGTCCCAATGCAGACGACACGTCGGATTTGCGCTGTCCCTACACTCAGCCTCCTTCCTGCTGAGCTGTTGCACAGGCATGGTGGCGGGGATTGCCGCAGGCAGCTGGACAAAATTCAAATGAGGGATCAGGCACCGTCCCGCCGATATAACCTGCCTCAGGGATGTCCTGTTTGCCAGACAAGGTGTCGTTGGCCCTCTTTGGCCCCGCTTTGCGCACAGTGTCGTCAGACCACCGCTTCACGCCGCAGCCGACCACCGATTCGCGCCACCGTCGATCGTGCCGATCGGTGGCGGCGAGCGCGAGGGGGAAGTGCGACAGGGCGGGCCCTCTCTCAAGGCTTGGAAGTCCCCCCTGGCCTCCTGGATGGCGCCGCAAGCCTCTCGGAGGGCGCGAGGCCCTCCGAGACGCCCCGCCGCCCCCCGAGCAGGCCTCCCCCCCTCGCTTCTTCCCCCCCCCCCCCCCCGCGCTCGCCGGCGAGATCTGCCAGACTGCGCCGCCCACCAGGTGCAGCCGCTTGCTCACCACCGCAGAGAAGCTGTTCTGCGCCTCTCGGGCAGAAGGCGGCCGCCCGGCGGCGGGGCGGGCGAGGGAGGAGGAGGAAGAGGAGGAGGAGGAGGAGGAGGAGGAGGAGGAGGAGGAGGGCGGAGGAGGGCGGAGGAGGAGGAGGAGGAGGGCGGAGGAGGAGGGCGGAGGAGGAGGAGGAGGAGGAGGAGGAGGAGGAGGGCCGGGCGCTCGGCCGCGCGGCCGCGCGCAGGGCCAGCGGATACGCTCGGGGGCAGCACTCGGGCACGCTCGATAGCACTGGGGGATCCAACAACGTTGCAGTCTCGCCCAGGCGCGACATGCTGGTGCTGGGGGCGAGAAGGAGACGATTCTCCCCCATCGCTCTTTCCCCCGCCCTTCCCCCTTTCCCTGTTCTCCCCCTGGGGGGACACAGCCCATGCGGACACCTCAAGTTACCCGACGGGCCTCGCCCCGGGCGCGTTCTGACCACGACCCCGAGGTGGATCCAGCCGTGGCGACGAGGTCCCCCTCGGGAGCGCCCCAACAAACGAAAACGAGAAAGGGCAGCAGTATCGGTGTATGCTCCTCATCTGCACGGCGACGCGTTCAGCGAAAGAAGTCGTCGATGCTTGCTGCTGCGGGCATAAAAATACACATGTTGCACTGTGGGTGGGAAATATACGTGGTGCGATATTGTGATGCAGTTTACTGTAGTAATCGGGAAGTGTCAACCCCACTCCGCACAATCACCCCCTCCCATCCGCCACTTGTGTTGCAAAACCCACGGCCACGGTTGCGGATGCGCTTGGCGTTGGCTGGCGCGTCTCTGCAGCCGCGCTGGCGCGCGCAATCTCGCGCGCAAAGCAGCCAGCTGGTTTGACACAACTGGCACGGTCGCGATGGCGCTTGCCCATGACATGACAACACTTTTCAGAGGCCGCGCTGGCGCGCGGGGGGCGCGTCCCCATGCCCACAACCCAGGCGCGGCGGCGGGACAGACCCCCGACCCTCTTACACCATGCCCAGTAACCAGGCACGGCGGCGGGATGGGCCGCAGGGCACTAGACAGTAACGTGCGGCGGTGATAAAGGAAGCGCGGGGTAATGATACCATCATGGCATATGCAGCAGAGTTGAATCAGATCAAACACAATAGACCAAACCATTGAAAAACATATTGAAACGGAAATAGGAAGTAAATGGCAAGAATTTGGGTTGACGGCTTTTGCGCGTACTCCGAGGTAGGAGTAGCACTGAAATGGCAGAGGGTAGGGTAAGAAGGGCGTCAACAAAGATAGACAAAGGAAACGACATCACTAAGAGAGAGACGTGGCATTAAAACGGGCACCCTAAGGGTCTAAGGAGTGTATAGGGTCAAAGGGCAGGAGATGGCCGTCGGAGGCGATAGGCCCCCCCCTCCACTGTTCTTTCGTGTTGTGCTACTGCTGTCGGGGCTTAGGAGGGAGAGGGGGACGGGGGAGTAGTGGGGGTCCGCGATAGTGAGAGAGTGACCGGAGAGGAACAGTGAGGAGGGCGAGGAGTAGGAGAGCAAGAGAGTGAGAGAGGGGCGAGAGGCAAGAGGCGAGAGGGTGAGGGGGTTGGGGAAGCGGGAGAGCGACAGGAGCGGGGGGGCAGGGAGAGGGCGAACGGGGGCACGGGGAGGAGGCGGGCGAGGCGGCGGGGGAAGGGGCAAGGGCGGCAAGGGAAGGTTGCTAACAGCAGACGCCTCTCTCCCAGGCTCAGCAGGGGGGGGCTGAGGAGGCAAATGAAGAGAAAAACGAAGCACGAGGCGCGCCGCGGGGCGGTTCCCGAACACGAGCGCCCCAGCGCCCAGACGGCCGGCGGGTCCCTATCTCTCTCTCTCTCTGTTTTGCTGTTTGGCTGTTTGTTGTATGTTGTTATCCTCTCTCTCTCTCTCTCTCTCTCTCCGTCTTTTTGTCTCTCTCTCTCTCTGTCTCTTGTTTAGTCTCGTTATCTTGTTTTGTTGTTCTCTATCTCTCTCTCTTTCTCTCTCTCTCTCTCTTTCTATGTACGTGTCTGTAGTTGTGCATATATATATATACATATGTATAAATAGCGTTTGTCTCGTTTTCGTTGTTCGTGTTTTGTATCTCTCTTTCTCTCTCTCTCTCTCTCTCTTTCTCCCTCTCTCGCTCTGTATTTCCTGGT